TAAGGAAGCACTTCTTCACACAGAAGGTGATAGACCAATGGAACTGTTTATCTGCTAAAGCCTTAAAAGTAAGAGCAGTACTAGGCCTGGACAAGAGTACCAAGAACAATTGGGGGATCTTCCAACACTGGATATCCACCTCCTTCCCACCAAGGCCACCTCTAGGTGTAGTGGCTGCTAGGTAAAAGATCTCTATCATTTAACTGCCCGTGTATCAACACTTTTTGTTACTGTTCCACAAATCTTTAACTCTAACACATTAGATTCACTATCAATTTCTAATTGCCTCATAATGATAATATCCTCATAATGATGCTTAAGTATTACACAGTACTAGTCACACAATTGACAATGGTTCCCCCACGACCGCCCTCTCCAATAACATTGTAGGGAAACTATAGGACTTGAATACAGTATGGCATCTCTTACTCCTATCTTATCATCTATGCTGCTGGTTGGCTTGCTAACCATTTCACCTGTCAGTCATTTCTCCGTCATGTACTGTTGGCAAGTACAGTATAGTACAGTACTGTACTGGGCATTCAGTTGCTGATGGGAAGCTCTTTCTATACTCATTCAAAGCAATGATGACTGGTAACTGATGCCTGAGCAGTAGACACTCCAAATGCATTTCAGAAAAGTTCAATATCTGACCCTGTATGATCAATACTATGTAGTACAGTATTTAAAAAAAAAATCACCTGTCCACATGACGTGGGCTAATAACTTGGCTGAAACTCATCACCTACCTCTATGATATTTGGTAAGCAGTACAGTACTATTTCTTCACACAGCAACACCACAAACATAAATCATTATATACATATGTACAGTAGCTAAAACAACTATCTGTGCAGGTGGGGGTCAATATGGTCCAAAATTTTGCATATGACTAGTGACAGCCCTCATGTAAAAAAATTTATCGTCCAAGGTCTCGTATTGTTTCCCGCAAAGTATGCACAGATAGTTGTTTTGCTACTGTACATTTTATAAATCATCTTATTCATTAAGAAAATCATCATACATATGTATACAGTATACAATAGTACAGTATTAGTGCGGACAGTAAGTACGTCATTGGACATTTGTAAATCAAATACATCGTACTGTACACATAATCTACTGTACACATAATCTAAATCATCCACATTACAGTACAGTGATCCCTCGGTTAACGAACTCCTCGGTTAACGAAATTTCGGTTAACGAATTACCTTCCATAAGATTCTTCACTTCGGTTAACGAAAAAATTTTGGTTAATGAATTCCTCACGAATTTTTCCCAACATGTTTTCGCCTGCTCACCAGCTGTAGTATTAGTCCGCCAATACAGTAATCGGTTTTAGGGCTTAAATTCGTTGCCATTTGAGTAAATATCAAGAAGGTTGTACTATTCAATAATTTTCCAAGTCTTATATTAAAGTTTTTAGTCATTTTAACAATTATTTAACATAATTCAAGTACATGGAACTAGTTTTTAGCGCGCCAAACAGCCACTCAACACACCCAAAATGGCGTCAGTGTGTGTCCCTGCTCAGAGGAGGAAGCATCTTGCTTCAGACTCTCTTGAACATAAACTGTTTTTACAGTACAATTACATGTATTGGTCATTCTGAAGTTTATTTTACATATTGACAATATATAATGCAATGCAGTGTTGATTTAAAGAAAATAATCTTGAATTACACCAAGTGAACTAAAATTTTATGGGTGAAATGGCGGCATGGGGTGACTTCTCTTCTCCTCCACCCCCATTCTAATTCCCATCATCATCATCATCTTCATCAACCAGGAGCCTTCTACATGCACACCTCAAAGTAAGTGTATTTTACTGCATTTATTTGTAGTTTGTACGTAATTTTCGGTGAGCTGGAACCAATTACCCAAAATCCCATTGAAACAATGGTTTCGGTTAACGAACGACCTTCTGGAACGAATTGTGTTCGTTAACAGAGGGACCACTGTATATAAGTAGTCATCTTATACATTATTTGAATCACTGTACACTTTTTAATTATCATATGCATTACAGTAAATGAACCATCATATACGTTATATTAAACATCGTGCACTTAAATCATACATTATATAAAGCATTGTACACAATTCAAATAACTTTGCAAATTATTTAAATCATAGTAGTACATCATTCTAGGCATTGTGCAAATTATTAAACTCACTGTACTAATATACCCTGTATATTATTTAAACCATCGTAAACATTATTTTAATTATTAATAGATTTTTTCATCATAATACAGGCCTAAAACATTATACCATTTTTGAGTCATTGTACACATTAAATAAATAAAAGTAATGTACACAGCCTCATGCCATGTAAAGCACCATGAAAAAAATAAATAAAAAGCCAATTTCAGCAGCAGACAATGTGGGAAATTAAAACAAGACAGCAATAACAAGGTGAATTCCCTGTACATTTGTAAGGATTCCTCTAATTTAATGGATGAATTAATCAAAGATAAATTTATCCTTTTAAAAACAATCAACAGCATCCAGGTTTCCTTCATAAAGTAACACTTGATTCAGTGAAAGGCATATTATTTATCCCCAATGTGAATACTTCATATTGTATTGTCTGCAGCTCATATCTGTTTTGCTGGGATTGTTAGATGTTGAATCATGGAGAATTTCAGAAATAATTTATGTGTCTAGCAATAAGCTATCACCTTTCTGCTGATTTACAGCATATGATCATATAAATGGTCTCTCCTCACTTTACAATAGTTGAGCAGGAAATGAAACTTCATTCAAAACTGGGGTTCATTCTGGCGTAAGTGTTCACACCACCGCCTGATGCCGTGAGTTTTACAGTCACCAGACCAAAGCAGCCGAGAGAAGGATGAGCTGACTGTAGAGGCACACAAACTTCTATGAGTGACTGTACATTACTGTACCTTATTGGAGGGTTGTCAGGGCTCACCACAGGGGGTGAGGAGAGGTGTGCTGATTTGAATTGGAATTTTTTTGAAATTTGGATCTGACCATCTTTCAAATAAGTGAAGATTGCTTTTAAAGTGAAAAATTGGTGTAAGAATAAAATACCCTTTTGTAATATAAAAAAATTGATAAGATAAAATCCTGGTCACTTTCATTACAAGCATCCCCCGGGTTACAGAAGGGTTCTGTTCCGGAAAATCTTTCCGTAACGTGAAACCATTTTCCCATTTACTTCCATTATAAAAGTTGAGATGTGTTCCTAAGGAAATATTTGAGGCTCAAAAACATGACACAGGCACATATATGTATGAAATCAGATGGTTCTAACCACATACAATGAGTCATTCATGATGTAACTTGATAATAAATGAACAAAACACTCGAATTTTACTTATCAGAAACGATGTTGAGTGCTGCAGGAGGTGGTGAGGTGAGGTTGTGGGATCAGAGTTACTGGGAGTTACCTCTTTAAAACATCAAGTTTAATGTCCAATGCAATTCCTGTTTGGAATCTTTTATCACCACTGCTAGCACCACCACTTGAAGGCCTCTTTCCACTCATCTTGAATATGAATAATACCTGTAATACAGTCCAGAAAACTGAGGGAAAGCAAAACACTGGCTGGAGATTCAGCAGACTGAAACTGTTGTTGTTGTTGTTCTTGTGGGACTGTTGGTGCCTTTTTGCTACCGCAGATACATCCACCCCAAAAAAATTCTAAAATTTTTCTGAAATTTTGATTTACCATGTCCACATTTAAAAAAAAATATTTTTACATTTTTCAAAATTCCGTAAGGGCAATTTTTTTCCATAACTAGAAATTCTGTAACCCAAGAGATGCCCGTACTTATAATGGCAACTTAAATCTTGAATACTTCCTTACACAGAATGATACATTACATCTTGAACACTTTTATTACTTACACAGAAAGGTAACATACAGTATATGCTAAAACAGTTTCCTTAATTACAATACCTATATATGCATGACAGGGTAACTATGAAAGCAGTAAAAAAAAATCTTATTTACATAGGATGAAAATAAATATTTAAAGATCCATTTAACTGAAATAAGAATGATAACTGATAACCTACTGACATACAGTGCAGTATAATCTCGATTTACGCGGTCAATTGAACCCGTGGAGGTCCGCGTAAACCGAGAAACGCGTAAACGAAATAATGGAACATATGGGATTAAATGAAATAGAGACTGGGCTGACCCCCAAACTACACTTTTTCCAACACAATACGTACGTTGTAGTAAAAATAACATCTTAATTTTATGATGGTATGCACACAATTAATATTTAAGAGAAATACAGTCGCCGGTTAATGTCCGTTCATATAATGGACTCAACTCCCGCTCCCCCCTCTTCCCACGCTTGCTGGCTCCCTCCCTCCCCCCCACCTTCCTGAGAAATGTTTGGGGAAAAGGACTAGGCTTACAGGTTTAGTAATAAATAATACCTCAGACTAAAGTTAGGAGAATATAATTTACATTGCTGGATTCCTTGCAAGACAGCGAATAATTTGAATATAAACATCATATATTTTGCACAAAAGATAAAATTTTTGCTCTCTCTAATAAAATTCTTAAATTAGATCTAAAATTTTTATGTCTAATGCAAATTTTAGCTTGTTTATATTCAAATTAATCACTATCTTATAAGAATTCCAGCAATGTAAATTATATTCTGGCCGGGTAATTTCTATGAATTTTATTAAAACAAAAATTTCAAGTAAATAAACAAATTATACTTCACCAGACACAATACGTACGTTGTAGTAAAAATAACATCTTAATTTTATGATGGTATGCACACACAATTAATATTTAAGAGAAATATCACTAATATTAGGTTTTTTAACACCTACGTTAGTAGAAGAGATGGCTGGGTACACGGGGATGGGGGGGTTGGTTCTGAGGCAGAGGGCAGATTATTGGCCCTCACCTGTATCACCTGTATCACTATCCACCACAGAGGCTTGCAGGACCTCTTTGTCAAACCCCTCAAAGTCCATATCCTTACTATCACTGACTTGGGCTGGCTGTGGTGGGTGGCGGGTGAAGAACTCGGTAATGTTTTGTTGACTGGGCGACATTGTGCACACCCTGCCCGTGCCGCTTCCCGCGTAAATAAAAATTGTCGGTCTGGCAAGGTGCTGCGTAAATGACCACACGAGTAAACAAAATCCACGTAAATCGAGACTATACGGCATTAATATCTATCTCTAAATGAAGACTTATCTGTTGATGACATATTTATTTTTTCTGACTATACACAGAATGATAACGTGATAACTTTTGAACATTTTCTCATCATACATTGGATCATGTGAAGATTAAGCACCCCAGCTTATTTCTCCTCAATGCAACCTAACACTAAGCTAGCAAAACAAAGAAACCTAATCTAGCATAACAAAACCAATTCTAACATAATATAACTTGTAAGCCATTGGTTTACATGTCATTATCTATACGATCATTAGTAATCTTAATGATGTTGTTATGCATGCTTGGACATCATATTTCAGGCACCACTCTAGCTCATCTTGCTGTAACCAAGGAAACCTAACCACTTTACCAATCCCAACTAGTTCATATCCATGTTTCAGCACTTTAAACCACACCCTTGTTCGCCCAAGTCGTGGTGCGGAGTCAGTCTAGAGGGTCTTGCTGTCAACACATCTCAAGCCATAATCTGGACAGTGTCAATCCCCTCTAGCAATATAGGGGTTTCACTCAACATCCTCAAGTGGTGTAAACAAACTGTGAGTGTGTACTTCATGGTGAACTTACTGGAGCATGTCAGTCAATGCCGTCGGGAACTGCTCGACCGGCCCCTGCCAGTGGATTGCTCTGTTTAGTCCACATTAACTCTTCACCCAGTTATCTGCTTTGTGTGTGTATTCCTCCACTGACAGGCCCATACAACATAGGGTTATAAACCTACCCTATCATTATATATCCATACTTAACCTAGCATAACCAATCTAACATAACAATAAATCAGGTGAAATAAGGTGGGATGCCTAATCTTCACGTGATCTACAAACTATTTTAATATTTATTTCCTTGGATGATAATACAAAAGATGATAACTTATTATTCAGACACTTGTCACATTAGCACACACAAACCACAGTACTGTACATCTGAATTTAACCCTTTACTAAGAGCATTAGTACTGCCTTCTTCACTGCTTTTTCTTTCTCCAATCAACCATTATCTTTACCAGCCAATCTGATTCAACCAATACCATTTTCTCACACACACACACACACACACAAAGAAAGCTTCACTTTCATGTAATTATGAGTTAATGAATAACACAGATGATTTACGAATATTATATACAAAATGGAAATACTGCACAGCACATCAAACCACAATACTTCCAGGTGACTTTTGTAACTAAAGAGAATAGTCTCCCAAGGTAGCAGAAATTCAGTATATAATGTACTGAATATTGTTATGCCTCGGTGCCTGTCTTATAATGAAGAATGTGACATACTTATCAAATGTAAGAAATAGGTACAGAAATCACAGCCACTAATTCTTGATACATATTCAGGGCTAAAAGAGTTACTTCGAAAAAGTAATTCTGATAATTCAGGTTTCTATTTCAAACACTTGACAGGGGGGAAGACTTGGAGGTACTGTTTGACCGCTCATCTGCCTCAAGTTGATTTTGATGTACATTATTTTCCAAGTACGGTCCACTGGACTGCATATCAAGCCATTCTCTTGCTCAAATATACCCACAAATGAATTTGCATGATGTAATGTGCCACAACAACATATCCTAACCATTCCATGATTTGACTTAAAAGCTTGTGTTCCATTCTCTAAATTTGGACTAAATAGGAGTCCAAATTTGTTAAAGGTGTCTCTTAAGAGTGCAAAAGTGTTAGCACCACCCTGAGCATGTAACTCCTCACTTGTCTGGCCAATAAGGTAAATATCTGTGGTGCTGTTGTGGTAAAAGATTTCTTCTCGAAACATGTCACCAATAAGGTGGGCACACTCTGGCTGTAGGCGGTTCACCATAGTAAAATACCATTCACAAAAGTCTCGGGTAAACTCGTCACTTCTCACGACAGTCGCTCTTGACTGGGTGGGTGTCACGACACAAGTAGGCAGCACTTGTACGCCACTAACCTCATATTGTTTCACACAAATATTTGTAATACTTACGTCTCCGCCAACAAAATTTCCTAATGCACCTGTACTGTTTGATCTAACCTCTCTTCTACCCTTCCGACATTTACTTTCAGGCGATGAAGTTGCTCTACGCTTCACAGTCACATGTTCTGACACAACATCCTTGTTACTCTGTTTGGCCTTGGAGGGAAAATACATTAAGTAAGTAAGATGTACTGAAAATTTAAAAAAAAAATCTATAATATTGAAAAGTTGCAGTGAATATAACTCACTTTATATCATTCATTATACTGTATGTAAAAAATAAAATAAAAATAAAAAACCTAACCAAGAAGTACGAAAGTTAGTCTTCACAGTGTGATCCCACATGGACGATTGTTTATTTGGTAAAACTTTGTTCATCCCGCTTACATGATTATGTTCGGTTTGGTTGGGTTAGGTAAAAATCATCTATATGAGAAAAAATTGTCTACAGTATTGGAAAACATCTAAGAAGCATGAAATGATCTTCACACAGTTGCTGACATTCCTGTAGCTTTAGCCCCTCTAAAGCTACATATATACACGGTCACCAAAAAAATACACCTAGATTCCATTACAGTACATAAGCATTTAAAACCCGGGCATTCTTTTTTTAATACCCTGTATTCTCTAACTTTGTTCTGGCACTTTCCTTCCTGGCTGGTCTCCTCTCTCCTTCAACACTTCCTCTGATTTTGGTATGAAGGTGAATCCAACACTTCTTCGTTCAGGGAGATGTATTGTATTAGTGTTTCTAGTCTTACCCAAACCAAACAAGAGATCACACTACATACCATCCCACACCACTACTACCAAAACCACCAACACCAACACACTCCCACACCACTACCAACACCACCACACTCTCCTACACCACCACTCTCTCACACACCACTACCAACACCACCACTCTCTCCCACACCACTACCAACACCACCACTCTCTCCCACACTTCTACCAACACCACCACCACTCTCTCCCACAACACTACGAACACCACCACCACACTCAACTAAACTTCCTGTAACTCACCCATAAGTCCTGTATAGCTAACATCAGTTGGTTCTTGTTGGAAAAACCTGCAGATGACACCTTCTTGTCGTGCAGGTAAGTGAACAGGACTTGTGAGGTTATCCGTCGGTAGGAAAACAGCCGTCCAAGGTCAGGAGTGTGGAGGAGAATGATTTCAATGGCCTCTGTAATGTACATAAGTATTAGTGCAAGAGAGACATTACACTACACTACATTAATACTGTACTGTATTATGCTTGAAATACAACAACTAATTCAACTACCGAGACTAACAGTAGAATTTCGTTATAAAAGACAGAACTTAAAATTAATATATGTAATTTTTAGACACTAACAAAATAATTTATTACTGTCTGTCATGTGCTGTACTGTATGCTGAACACACTGTAACTCACAAGAAGCAGGAGGCGCTCTTTTAATAAAGTAAGAGAACACAATTCCAGATATTGTACTGTACTGTACAGTCCCTGTATCTGAATTTGGTGCCTTTTATATTGATAATGTGCTAAGCCAGTGGTCCCCAACCTTTTGAGGCTCTGGGCCACATTTATCATTGTAAATATTGTATAGTGGAGGGCACCAAAACTTTGGATCTACATTCAAGAAAAAAATCTCTTACATACTGTACAGTTACATGTCTAACTGTTACCAGTTACATACTTTTTACATTTAGTCTTGGACAGGAGGTGTGCATTTACCCCAGTGTGAAGGTTGGCTCTCTCTTTGGGCCCGGTCTGGGGTAAATACACACGTCCAGTGCACAACAGACTCGGGACAAATGCGCAGTTCCTCTCTCTCTCTCTTAAAACTATAAGGTTGCATCAAGTTAATACATATTTTCATTAATTTCACTCTTACCAAGAATCCCAAATAATATGGTTCTGCGGCGAACTACAGGCTGGGGACCACTGTGCTAAAGTGTCGATATTTTGAATATATCCTGTAATGTGTCAACACAGGATGTAAATAATTGACTGTTGTGTGCTACAACGGTTGTGAGGACGGTGGCTGAGAATCTTTTTGAAAATAAAAAAGAATGTTTGTTGAGGTTTGGTTACAGTAGGTGAGGTACAGTTTGGTTTGCTGAGATTAAGTTAGGTTTGGTTAAGTGATAATTAGGTTAGGTTAAGTTTGGTTAAGTGATAATTAGGTTAGGTTAAGTTTGGTTAAGTGATAATTAGGTTAGGTTAAGTTTGGTTAAGTGATAATTATGTTAGGTTTGGTTAACTGAGATAAGGTTTGGTTAAGTGAAGTTAGATTAGATTAGGTTTGGTTAACTGACATTAAGTATGGTTAAGCTTTGGTTTGCTGGGATTTAGTTAGGTTGGGTGAGGTGAGTTGAGATGATTAGGTGAGGTTAAATTAGGTTATGACTACATTAACAACTTTGAAGATAGTATAAATGTCAAAACTCACATCAGCTTACCTTTAGCATTGAGAGGTAAAATACGGTTGTTAGTGGCCGTCCTAGCCAGAGCCAGGAGGGCCTCGGCATCAAGCAACTGGAGCAATTCCTTGATCTGGACCACAAATGGGGATTTTGCGAGGCTCATGATAGCTTAAGACTGTACCTGAAACACACAGAGATGTTAAAAATAAAATATTATAATGTTACAGGGAGTGGATAGAATTTTATATTTATTCTCACATAACATTATCTTACAAGGATCAACATGACAATAGTTACTCATGTTAGTTATAAGGGAATACTTCATCATTCCTGAATCACAATACATAAGACTACAAATTGATGGATATGGGCCACTCTCTAGGTAAAGAACATCCTTTCTTCTCTACAAGACTCTAAACTAGCTCATTCAGGTGCACGAGCATGATAAAGTCTGATCATGTTTTATCACTGTAGTCTCCCAAAATAGGTTTTGATAATGATTCGGTAGAGTACATATGTAATCGGACATCACAAACAAAAATAAGGTTTTGTTGCATTTTTATGGTGATTTAATATAATATTTATCTTTTATTTTTGGTGCCAATCAATATTTATCAAGATATGAATCACTACCACTATTAAGGACAATGGATTTACAAAGTAGGCAGGGCTTTGAAGATGAGGGAAATTGTAGGATAAAAAAACAAAAGCAATTATAACTTTTGACAACCTGACCTAACACAAAATAAATCCTAAATTTACAAAAGCTTAACTTATTTAACCAAAAGAGAAGGATAAAGTGAAGCCACATGTAACAGTCTTGTGGTTGTTCTCAAGGTGACCAAAACAAGTGGAAAAGTGATAGATTCACAAAAAAGTGCAAAATTTTACATTCAGAAGGATTTGTTTTATTTATAAATTATTTTTGAGTAGAATCCCTGGTAACCATGCAACCAGCAGATTCAACTAACTGTCACCAAAATGAAATACCAATAAAAAATATAAAAAATCACCCAAAATCAGCTAGGCTCTTAACCCTCTTGCGCATGAGATAAGTTTTAAGTTTTCAAGTTCCAAGATCACATCTCTGAGGCCCCTAGGGCAGGCAAGGCAGTTCACGGTGAATATACTTTTTTACTTATCAATTTCCCTCAAAAAATTTTTTTTTCATTGGCATAAACCATATATCTTCGGTTTCATAATTGATTACTCTGCAACTTGAGCAAAAAACTAAAAAATAATACAAAAGGTATATACTGTAGCTATTTTTCATCACTTCTAATAAACATGACAAAAAATACACACCAATCTGTTCACAACCTCCAAGCTCAAAATTGTCTAAGCCAACTTTTTAAGTACAGGTACTATACACTGCAAGAAGAGGAGTTTTATGAGCTTTCCAACACAGTCATCAGATTTCTGATATAATCAATATTTTTGAGAAAATAGCAAAAAAAATTATTCTCAAATGGTAAAAAAAAAATTATATTATTCTTGTGCCTATGTTTTATATCGATATAAATTATATTGCATCTTGTAGCAAACACTATAACAAAGAGAATGGCACTGATAACATTCATGTAAATCCAGAAAATCATCCTCTTTCAGAGATTTTTTCGAGACATTGTCACTAAGTATAACGAGGTTGTATAGCCTGATACAGTAACGGCTTTTGAAAACCAAACACTTCCCTGTAAATATGAAAAAAATATTACATTACACAACCATCACTTCACTTCTCTAACACTAAAAAGAAATTATTTCAGAGAGTAGGGTAAGCACTGTAATCCAGGAGTTGAGGCAGCCCGCCGAGATAATACTGCGCATTTATCATTCTGGTCTTCCCTTCCTATGCGCCTCGAGAGTTGCCAATTAGTTTAATTGATAGAACTTACTTGCTAATATGATGAATCAAAATTTTACGCAATTCCGTTGAAAACTTAATTTTTGGCGATTTTTTTTAACTTTGGTGACTCTATTTGCATCACCGTGAAGTTGGTCTTATCATGAATATGATCATGCGTGAAAGGTTTAAGTTTGAGTACTGTGCACAATGGGAATGAGCTGCCATATTTAATGCTATGATAAACAATAAAATGGATACACAGTACATGTATACAGTACTGTATCATAAAATACAATAACACATATTTTATGTAAAAAAAAATAGCTCCTTCCACATTCAAACCACCCTCTGGACACCACAACACAGTTCACCCAGGCAGTCACCCGGATAACTCACAGACGTGTGGCTGTCACACTGGCTGTGTGTATGCCGTGATTTCACTTGAGGAAGGACCGCGGCCACGCAACTACAGCCCAGTAGCCCACTGCCTCCACACACGTTCACTTGCCACACATACAATACACACCCATGCTCTTAATTTGTCTTATTTTACAGTTTTATATTATATTTTCTTTATCTCTAAGCCATATCATTCATATAGAATGGAATAAGTGTTAAAGAAGTCCATTTTTTCTGAGACACAAATTTGTAAGGTCAACCTGTAGCACTGTGCATCGTAGGATTAAATGGGGGGTCCTAAGTGTGAGGTTCAACTAACCGGAAAATCTCTTTATCCGGTACCTCTCAATCCTTATAGGTACCGGATCATTATACTGTATATACATATACATAGGTATATCTTTCTACTTTGTTTTGCTGTTATTGTACCTGTTTTGTTTCATTGCGTTGATGTCTATTTATCTGCTTATGTTAATATTTGTTCCATTTGTTTTTGTTGCAGGATGCTTGAATTCTTGTAGAATAAAGCCCAAGTTGAATTTTGTTTCTTTTATGAGCCTACTACAATAAACAATTGCCTACTACACAGATAACTGGGATTCTACTGCATAATGAATTCTCCAGTTATTCTTCTTTTATTTTCTGACCTGTGCTTACCTTCATGGCAACATCAAAGGTGCTAAATTTAGCATGAAAATGCTGAATGTGGTCATCCTGAGCATTGTCATGAAAAGATAAAATTAATATGCCTGGTTTTGAACAAAAACACACACCAAAAAATAACAAAAGGAGAATCACTTAATTCTCCTCCATCGGCTGAAAAAGGTAAGCTTTCTTATAATTTGGACGTATTTTACGGTAATATAAGATAGGTTATCAAAGGTCTTACTGGCGCTTTTTTATTTTGTTTTTTACCCCACAATTTCCCTCGTCTTCACAGCCCTGCCCACTTTGTGCATCCATTATCGTTGCTAGTGGGTTATATCTCCATAAATATTCATTGGCACCAAAAATAACGGACAAATATTCTTTTAAATCACCACAAAACATAAGAAAAACCTATTTTTGTTTCTCAAGTCCGATTATGTACTCCTCTGAATCTTTACCCAGGTTTTGTTGAAAGCACCAGAATACTTTAAATGGGAATCAAAAGATTAACTTTATGTGTTCAATAATATTTTTTCTCCATTGGATTCACACTCAATACATTAAAATAAGGCAAGGGTTATTTAACTGGTATCCAGCTGAATAACCACTGGTTATTTGACAAGAATCTATAATAAAACTGAGTAACTAATTCTGGCCACAGAAAATTCTACATTCGTACTTGTATTATTTTATTTATAATTTCAAATTACTGTATGGTAAAAAATCGATAAAATAGAAATAATACAGTAGCTACATGAAAAGTTAAGGATACAAGGAAGATAAAATCAGGTTAAAATCTAAATCAATTTGTTAAGAAAACCAACACCCAAATGTTTGTTATCGGGTACGGGTATAGACCTAAAAAAAAGTTGACCTAACTTAACCTAACCTTCATTATATATGTACATGAGACAAATGGGAAATCTCGGAGTATCAGAAGACGATTAAGGAAGATATAGATAAAGCATTCAACATTTAAATAAGTGTAATAACTAGTGTAATGCCCATAGCCATCCTGACCAAATCCCATTAAAATCATAGTAAAATCATACACAATCTCCGTAGGTCCCGGGCAAATAGTCGATGGTTATTTGACCAGGAATCCCGATCAAATAACCACTTCGCTAAAATAAACATCTGAGGAAAACCAATGACAAATAAAGTATTGATCCTCTTCATAACCTTTATACAATAGTACCCTTAATGTCTTCTTTCAGTATTGACACTTTAAAGCAGCGGTCCCCAACCTGTAGTCCGGTGCCAGCGGAACCATATTGTGGAGCCCACAAGGGTTTATTAGATTACTGTATTGCGAATTATTTGAGATTCTTGGTAAGAGTGAAATTAATGAAAATACATAATAACTTGATGCAACTTCATAATTTGAGAGATAGAGGGAGAGGAACAGTAAAATTATCATTTCGGTCATCCACCTAAATTTGAAAGTAGGTCAGAATCGTTCAAAACACATAAAAAAAAATCATTGGAAAAACATAATTTCAACCTAACCTAACCTGAACTTAAATTCTTAAAATTCTCTGGATGACCGAAATTATAATAATGCTAGAGGAACTGCGCATATGTCCCGAGTCTGTCGTGTACAGGTCGTGTGTATTTACACCAGACCGGGCCCAGAGAGAGAGCCAACCTTCACACTGGGGTAAATGCACACCTCCTGTCCAAGAGTAAATGTAAAAAGTATGTAACTGGTAATAGTTAGACATGTAACTTTACAATATATATGAGATTTTTTTTTACTGAATATAGATCCAAAGTTTTGATGCCCTGCACTATATATTTACAATGATAAATATAACCCAAAACTTACAAAAGGTTGGGAACCACTGCTCTAAAGTATTCAACACCATGCTAGTTCCCTAAATATTTCCAAGACTGAAGCATTTTATGAAGTCACACAAAATACAGTCAACCAGGAGGAGTGCCAAATTCGTCACAAAGCTCACTGCTGATGAATCCTGTCTGACAACTGTGACCTGGTCTACAGGAGTCAGTAGGTGATGTCGCCTGCCTCACCTTTGGCTAGAGACCTTTAGTGGTTACCAAAGATATTGTACTGCCCGTCTGCCACACCCCTTAAGTTCCTGAATCCTTTACGGAAATAACCGAGTCACGTTAGTTTTTAGAAGTGATGAAACCTGAATATTCTGATGTTTTACGATAACCAAAGCTGTGACCTTAACTTGTTTCCGCAAAGGGCTCGGTAAAGGTGGTCATGAAGAATACCATAACAGGTTTCCCCTGGTAACGACGTTCTGGAGTGTGGCAGGAAACATTTTACACATTCTTAACTCATATTCCTCAACAGGGGACCAATGGCAATACTTGACAGCTCTAATAAAAGCTTGTAGAGTGATACAACTTACCCAAGACACACATATAAAGGTGGATTACTCCTTCACCAACAATTTACTCAACAGATTATATCTTATCAATCTTGGGGAGGAAATATAACGTAGCCTTCGGAACTTAGCCACTGTTATAATTATGCCACGAACATGAACACTAAACCACAACTTTTGTTTGCATATAATTTAAATTTTATTTAATTTAACAATCCAAATTAACTTTGATTAGATTTATTTAAAGTGGGTTAGGTTGACTTAGCTTATGTCATCTGAAAAATGAATGATGTCAGCATTTCTTTGTGGCAATATTTTAACATTAATTATTTTGCTGTTGCAGGGATATTTGTAAGGGATTAGAAATATAAATATTTATTATGTTTCTTTTAAGAAGTTTCTCTTTCTGTGGCTTGTAGATTTATATATCAATGCATTTATTTATAATAAACGCTGGATACATTTATATCATATATATTTATTTATTTTTTAACCATCTTTATATGTGGTCTATGAGCTTATTTAGAAATATCACGAAATTCATGAACCTTAACATATAAAAGAATATTATTTTACGGTACCTTCTTTTTATCTGCGAGTTATAAATAAATAATGTTATACAATGCAGTATATGGAAAGGGAGAGAGAGTGTGTGTGTGATACCAGTCAGTTACTCTTCCCATTCCAAAAGAGTGCTGTATCTTTATATCCAGAAAACGTAACACAATTCCTAACAAGTTATGCAACATTTGGTGAAGGTGAAAGCGTGACTGTGCACACATAAAGGCTTAAGGCGGCCTACCAGTACCTGTATTTGCTGAGCGCTGAGCTTCTTCCGCCCATTGACAATTTCTCACTATTACCCCTTTACAAAATTTAAGAATTCTATGGAAGGATCACCTGAACACTGGACACACTAGCAGATCTAAGCGGGTGATTAAACACCTTAATGATAACCTAACTTAATATAACCTAATTTAATACCCCCAGAAAATGTTATGGTGTTTGGTAATGATGTAATCCCTATTGACTAAGTACTTTTTACCCCAAAACAAATGTTGCTTAGAGACACACACACACACACACACACCTGTTTGTTCTAGGCATTGTCATTTATCCAGGTACAGTGACATACACCAAGTACAGTGCCACACATCCAAGTACAGTGCCATAAATCCAGGTATAATGCCATACACCAGGTACAGTGCCACGCATCCAGGTACAGTGCCACACACACACACAGGTCATGACACTTTCTGTAGAACTGAGTATATCCTTTATCTTAATAACCAACGACCTTGCCTGGTACACTTAAGCATACGAACAGGAATTAATTACTAGCATAGAGATAAGCTGCGAAACAAAGCAAAAACAAGTTGAACAACGTTATTTCCTAAACTTATTACTCATTAACTGTGACCAATAATTATCTCATTAGAGGACTAGTATTGCAGAGAGCGAAAACAAAGTGAAGACAGTTGATGACTTGTGACATTAATAACAAGTGACATTAACTATCTGTGCTACCAAACAAGGTGTTATTAATTAATCTATAAAAAGTTTCACTTGTTAAACTTTTACTTGATGAATGATTGACTACTGACTCCTTCAACTGCTGGGCGTCTCTCTCGGACGTCTTAGTAAGTTTGTGGGCCATGAGGTGAATAATGTACACAAAGATTCTATGAGTTCATTTTGTCGGGTCACCTGAAGATTAGACACCCTCAGCTTGTTTCACCAAACCTAAGCTAATACAATTTAAAAGCTAAAACCTAATCTGGTTTGAACCACCCAAAGCCCTTGTCACCTTCGTTTATCTATCTAGATCATTGACAGTATTATTGATCTGTTTTGTCACAAATAACCTTTACTTTAGCCTGTTAATTACCCCAGGAGCATATTATATATATATATATATATATATATATATATATATATATATATATATATATATATATATATATACAAGTAAATCACTGTAGTTGCGCGTGATCAGGTATATGCTGATAACCTTGCGGTTATCAGCATATATATATATATATATATATATATATATATATATATATATATATATATATATATATATATATATATATAAATCCACAATAAAAACGTGGATAAGATAAATCTTGATAAAATCACACGGGAAAATGGAAACAACGGAGTACCTTAGCTTTCGTCTTTATTCAAGACATCTTCAGAGGCAACTGAAGATGTCTTGAACAAGATATATATATATATATATATATATATATATATATATATATATATATATATATATATATATATATATATACTGATAACCACAAGGAAAAAAGAAAACACGAAGTTCCCAAGCTCATTAAAATCTCTATAAAAGTCTAATTAATTAGATGAATGTAGTTTGGATATGTTTATTGATATAAAATAAAAAAATAAAGAATAATGAAGCCAGGTCAAGAGAATCAGACAGGTCTGTGGGAAGGTTAAAGAGTTTCGAACGTTGTATAAGTGAAGGTTCAAAATTCAAAATTCAAACCTCGCCGATTGCGCCCAAAAGGCGGCAGAAGCACCGCCATTGAGATGCCGGTAGTCAAGCTGGTGGGATGTGTAGCTAGAGTTGTGACCTTTTGATAGTTTACGAAGAAATCTTTACTCCAGTACATTCGGTGATCAAATGGTAAGTAATTACTTTAATGTCGAATAAGTGTGACATGTTTGCAAGCATTTGTATATTAAGTTATGGGGGGGGGAACTAGTATGACCAACCGGCTTTGGACCACAGCTCAAGGTATTATCATGGCGCAGGCAGCAGCCTTGACTGTCTTCATATTGGTCATACCCGGTTGACACTCGGGTACCTTATTGACGGTGGCGCGGCTACCCACTGTGACGACTGCTGGTCCTTTTGACGAAGTGGAGTGTCTAGTGCCCAGTCTGGGTGACGGCCGACAGCGAAGGAACCTCTTGTGTAGGGGGGTATTTTTTCTCGCGAGGTTGGCCTCCCCATATGTTATTTGTTTCTTCTCGTTTTCTTTTGGCTATTGTTTCTTTCGGTTTTATTTACCGTTATTGAGTTTAGTTTAACTTCCCATTAATTATGGTTAATATTTCGGGTAAAGATTCGTTTGGCAGTACTTCAATCGACGACCGCAGCCGCGAAAGAGTCCGGTTGTATAGGTATTGATTTAGATATTGAAACAATTTATTGAGCCATAGAAATACAGATAGTGGATAAACAACGATGTTGCCATGGCTGAGCCAATTGGGAGCCTGACCTCTTAATGGCACCTGATATATACTGTACATTTATCTAAAGTATTAAGGAACATTTAGCATCATCTGGAATAGTACACATAACTTGGTGTTGAATACATATGAGAATGTTACCACACTATTTATTTTTTTTGTATCAGTATATACATATTTTATACAGTGGAGTTGTTATACAGTAATCTGAAGTGGTGGAAGCAGTGCAACTTGGGTTTACATTTATTGTAGGTGAAACAAGGTGACACTTGGGATCATGTCTTGACGGCAAATACATAACTATTGCAATGTTAATTTTTATCTACGTGACAATATACGATATAATGGTTTTGATGGTACAATAAAAGCAAAAGTATAGTTTTGCCAAAAAAATATTAATACTTAGACAATAGATATTTTTTTTTTTAAGAAATTAATAATTTAAAGGGAGTTAGTCTGCTTGGATGGGGGGGGGGGAGGGAGAGAGTTTGTTTCGGTCTTCCGGGGAATCTCGGATCTAACCATTGGAATCGGTAGTTTAAAAAAATCAGACTGCTTCTATGACGTTTCCCTCGCAAATGACTTGACCTTACCTAACGGGGCTACCTACCTCTCCGGCACAGTAAGTTGTTTGCGAGGGAAAGTCATAAAAGAAAGATGTCTTGGAATTGCCTAAACTACCGATTCCGTAAGTTTGAATTCCGAAGGTATAGGTAAGGTTGGGTTAGACAAGATATTTGTAGACTGCACACTTGTTAGGTGATCAGCAGGGTAAGTGGAACATTGCAAGTTGTCCAGTTAAGCCAAATTGCATTTATTTTATTTAGGGTGATCCAGATTCTTCTTGGGTAATAGTGAAGATGGCCAATACCGGTTTTCCTATTAGTTCATTTTTTCACTAATGTTTGGTGATAATAAAAATGTTGCACAGAACCAGACCAGACCTAACCAACCACACTTATCTAACCTAACTTCTGTTATTATTGATGACATACCCATTGCCGACTTTTTAATTGAAAACGAATTTAAAAATGGTACAATTTCACTATTTTGCAGTGGACACTGTCGTAGTTAGAGCAAATGTGTTAAAATGGGGTCATTTCTAAATTAATCATAACCTAACCTTCATCGATAAGAAACACAAGCGGCCGATGCGTTGTTAGAAGACTGCACCAACCTAGCCAAATAAACCTACTTAACCTTACCTAATGTCCGAACCTCCCGGCATAACCAGAAAGAACTTTATATGATTTGGTGTAATTTCTTGTGTGGATGTGGGAGATGCCGCACGGACCGAGCTGCATGTCCACAAACACTGGGTGGAGGAAAAATTTGGGCGTGGATTGGACCACCTTAATGCTTTATTGCTGCGAAAGACGAAGTAGTGCAAAGCAAGGGACCTACAGTAATTATCTACCAAACGGAGTATTTGTCCAAAAAAATGAACAGCATATCTGAACTCGGCGATGAAAAGATTGTAATATCCATCTGAACGAATTACGCAGTACAGGGTAATGGGTTTGTCGTCAATATTTACCTATTTTTTCTGGGCAGCTTTTGGTCCTATTGTGCATAAAAAGGTTGAGATTCATACTGTATAGTTGGATTAGAATTCCATTTGGGTTTGGATACATTTTCCATTTCTTCAGTGGCATTGGATTCTAAGTGAACTGTTTTCATAAACGCATTGTTATTTTCTAATGGGAGACTGACAAGCTCATCTAGTATTTTAACATATCTTAAGCGTGTTGTTCTTTGTCTTAGCACAAGCTATGTGCTTGTAGAGGATAAAGACTGTCACCAAGAGAGAAGTTAGCATGAACTAGTTTGCAGGACATGCAAATACTGTATGTGTTCAAGATGCGACAGAGAACTGACAGTGAAGAGTAAATGTTTCCGTGCAACAACTT